GTGCTCCTTGGTGGGGTCACCAGCCATGGCGGCAAGGTCAAAGGGGAGGTTCCAGACTAAAAGCGACCCAAGAAGTCGTCAATGACAGGACAGGCAGAGACCGTGGGTCTCAACGGCTGTGAAGACGGACGAAGGCTGTAGCGGGCAAAGTGTCTCAGGTCATCGCCGCTCGCCATGCCACTGAAGCCAGCCACGATCCCGTCAAGATCGTGTAGATCTCACCGACGCACTGGCGTACCCACGTAAATCAACTCCACGTGCAGGATTTTGTCAGGTTCTGCCGACGACGGTGTATCACCGCCAAATAACAAAAGATGCAAACATTTGTCAATTACAATGCTCTGAAAGGAAAATATATGTTTGACATTTTGGGCAATGGTCAGTATTCATATATCAATAGAGTTCCATTATTCCAGAGCCCAATATGATGTGAGATCCCTTTCGCAAATGAAGCAAGGATAATTACTCATGAAAAATAATGAAATTTAATGGTCAAAAAAAAAATTTGTTGCAGGTGATTTTAATGTGTTTTAAAGTATATAAAACTAGCATATAAATGGCATGAGAATTATGCCACAAGTTATTAATGTTTATGTAATAGCGAATTATGTCACTTAGGTGAGGTTCTCAAATTTTGCGGAAAGAATGATTCACTCTCCGACACCCTGCAATTCAATAAAAGTGTTACAATTCAGGGCCATTATCCAATAATATAAATAAACAATAGTTCAACGAATTGGGGTGGAGGGGTAGCACCTGAAGTGTTTCCAAGGGTTACAACATATACGAATTGAAAAACACCAGCTCTTATAGGCCTAACTCGATGCATATACCATGAGCCGAAAAATCGATGTTAATCGATGAATTGATGCATCATCATTCCACTTGTACTCTCAAGTTCAAGTTTATTTATTAGGTATAGCCCTGTGAGCCATTCGGCTTTTGAATCGAGTGCAACCGCAACAAACAAAAAACAAAAACATGAACAAAAAAACATCTTTTAATTGAATATGTGACTGAGTGCAAACAAAAAATCCAAGAAAAGACAGCAATCCAAGAAAAGACAGCATCAGCATTTCCCCCGCACCTCTGACGAGCACGGTTGGCTACGTACGGTGCAAAAGAAGTTCAACATACATACAAGTACACCTAGCACCTAGTCGAGACTAATTCATTGCAATAGTGATGGCAGTGTTGTTAAAATCCATATGATACAATTGAAGGTGCGGTCCTGCAATCGCTTGCTCATGTTACTGCTAAAGGAAAGGACCGCCACAAAAAAAGAGCTCTCGAAAGCACATCGAGTGAATGATTTTGGCTGACTCCATGCTGCGGTCAGGCATCTTAGAAGAGGAGGTGTTACCCACACTTTACCCTACCACACAGGCGTCGGGCGACTTACCGATCGGCAAGCCGCGGTGCACCCATTTGACCTGCTGGGTGGACAGACGCGGGGAGAGGGCGTTAATAAACGTGCATCATCGTGTCGACTGCCACTCCTGCGGAATGAAATGAACGGGGCGACCTGTGGATTGCAAGTGCGGTGTGCTAAGGGGCCGTCCATAAATGACGTCAAGCGATTTTGGACGATTTTTGACCCCCCCCCCCCCCCTTGTCACACGGCGTCACAAAAAGTCAGACCCCCTCCCTCAAATATGACGTCACAAAGCTCTGCCCCCCCCCTTCCCCAAATAAAACATGCTTCAAATCGCTTTAAACTATTGTCATTGTAGTGCTGCACTCTGATGTTGTAGGACAGCAGGAGAAAACATTTATTAAAAAGTATATTAAATTAAGTAGAACGTGTTGTCTATATTTATTTAAAGTTACGCATTTTGATGTGACGTCACATTTCTCAACCCCCCCCCCCACTCGTCACACATCGTCACAAATGTCTGAATCCCCCCCCCCTCTTGGTGCGTGACGTCATTTATGGACGGCCCCTAACCAAAACACCCGAGCAGCATCACAAATCCATATGGCTTGGGGCTAATGCACAGCTGCAACACGTTTAAACCCTGCGCCTAGATGCACAATGCAGCTCCATTAATGTCATGGCACATCGTGTGAAAAATGTTGTCAGCATTCGTTAAGAACGTGGTTGTGGAGTGGCGATCCACATGTGTGGAACCTGTTACGCACGTGACCACAAAATGGGGTGTGTAAGTGGCCTTCAAATTTGTTCAATGAAAACACGGTCAACTTATTTGAATACGTCAATTGCACACTGCAGTAATAATGACGAGTACATTCGATGTCTCGATGAATACTAATCGACACAAGTTTGTTTTATTTGATGTTGTTTAAATGTGCGAGACCTTACACGATATACATTCTGTGGTCGTGACTGGAGGTTGTTGCGCAGCCTAATTGTGTTTTTTTTTCAGATTTAGCAACAACGTGTTGCACTCAATGAACCTAACTGCATAATCATAATTCATTTTCTATCTACTGCTGAATGAATGTCTCACCAGGTAATCGTCATCCCTCAAACGTCTTGTGATGCAACAATCCATCTAGCTCCTGCACACAGCCGATCTCATCACTTCAACTCTACAGTGGTCATTTCCATCATCAACATTGACTTACTGGCTATCCAGCTTTCTAGCATTATGTCATTGCTCTGTCCAGTTACTCTTTTTCTAAGTCAACATGATGTCTAATCTTCTTGGTTCTTTCAGTAAAGTCACGTAGAATGGAAATAATAAAATAAAATAAAACATAATAAAATAATATAATACTTTATTATATTATTATTTCCATTCTACGTGACTTTACCGAAAGAACCAAGAAGATGAATCCCTGCAGTCACGAAAGCTTTAAATCAAAATGATGTCTAACTTGAAATTGTTCTCGGATCCATGTCTTCATCCGCCTGTCTCTCAATTTTTACTCCAACCATGCACCTTTACATGTATCATTGCATACCTTGCAGCTTTTCTATTTTATTTGTAAGTCTCCGTTTGTCGCATCCATGTCATCGTAGACAATATGCATTTATTGAAAACGTACTTCTTTAGGCACATTGATATGTTTCTTTCATAATCAAGTTCAGTTTTACAAAAGCACTCCAAGCTTCTTTTGCTTGCCTCTTTATACATATAAAAGTGCTATGAAGGGCCATTCCCCAACACGTCTATTACAAATATGTAATTTTAACGCTGTGTTATTGACGAGCGTGTTGAGTGTTTTATAATTTGTACTTGTGCACCACTGCCAATGCAGCAGAAGCGTCATCAAACAATTAGTTTATTTAATTACTTTGAGCCAGGTCCACCTTCTACAATTGAAGCCGGTATACAGACGTTTATCTTGAGCCAGATTTCATATGCCCTGAACTTATTTTACTTTTCTGTGTCATTAAATGAATTTTCACTGCTGTCGCTTTGCACGTTTAACGCTTGGCGATTCAATGCAGTAAATGACCAATTTCGAAAGGTATTTTTTTTGTGCAGTCATCAGTGACTGATCTGTAATCGCTAACCGTGTGGTACCTGAGAAGCCCTTTAGTGCCACAGGGAATTATCAGACATTTGAGACTGGGATCTTAAAGGTGCTTGGCTCAGTACTCTAACAAGATAATTAACTCGGAACCACACTGCGAAATCGAGTTAGTCTACGGCACCGGAGTCAACCATTTATTATCCACTATGTCATACGGCGCATACATACGTGTGCAGCTTCATGCGGTCCAAAATGGTAATCACATAAAACATTTATATTTCAAAATAGGAATGAATGTATACGTTTGAAAAAAAAAGTGAAATGCTCAATGAGAGCATAATACATACCATATGACTGCAACAGTATACAGCAAATATCAGCGGGTAATTGATAAGATTTGACATCTCATCTGAGCAATCAAAACTGTTTTGCATCAGTCTTTCTTTCCAATGGAAAGAAAATGATATTTCATCCTGTAATGATTACAATAAGATATTCCCTTAGCAGATTTGGAATGTATCCAGAAACACAGACTCTGGAACAAGAAACCAACATTTATCTTTTTCCTGCTGAGTCAATTTTCATGAAAATATAAATCTATATAGAGTATGACACAGAAAACATGATGCAATGTAGCAGCACATGCGGGTTTAATGTTGGCATTGTATATTTTGTAAAAAATTAGCAAAAAACAACCTCAAAATATAAGATTTTGCACAGAGGAGGGTTTTTAATGACAAGCAAGTCCTAAAGTAAAGATGAGAAATACTCTAAAATATTTTCACGTACAATTGTACAACCATTGTATCGACCTACTATTGTATGAGGATCATCCCACACTATTTATGTCGAGGAGGTTAATCGACCACACTTCACCATGCTGGTCAGTGCTGGGTGGTGAGGTCGGGGTGTATAGGCGATAGAGTGTAGTATAGTACAACAATGCGCTTCGCTGCACTGCACTCTGCTGGCAACTTAGCCCATGTGACCATAATTAACATTTCAACAATACGACGACTCCATAATAGAAGTGTGTTGGGTTAGATCGCGTAAATATATAAATGTGTCGTAAAAACCCGCCACCACCCGACACAGCCAACTAGTAAGGGTTGTCACGTAAACAGAACATGCCAATTCGTCACTAGTACAGCACACCGGTGTGTTGGAGAGCCTAAGCCACAACATTTGCAATCTGAGTACGACGTTTCGCCAGTAATTACAACTAGCTTCATCAGGCGACAGCCATATTTGTGGAGAAGTCTAACTGTTTCGTTCTTTAAATAGAGGCGTAGATGTGGTGACCACGCTTCTGCGCTCTTGCGCAAAGTTGGAGGGGGGGGATTACTGAGTCAACGCACATTATGCTTATGCATTATGCAAGCCCTTTGATCTTGTTTTTCCTGTCTATTGTGTGTATTAAAATAGCCGTACCAACGGTAATCCCTATTGAAGTACACTGCCCTTTATAGGCACGAACTCTGCGCAATATTCAATTGCACGTGGAGGAATATGACCGTGATTTGTGGGAGGGAAATCTAATACACCGTATCAAGCTCTTCATTGTTTCCATGATCACATTTTATTCTTAGATTTGTGAAATATTCCAATGTACATTTTAAAAAAAACAGTTCTGATTACATACATTGACACTGAAATTATACTGTAACTAGAATAAACAAAATGTGAATTGGTCAACGTTACTTGTCTGAGTCTGTAGGACGCATTGACATCTCGCCGTCTCAACTCGCCTCTACTCTGCCATCTGCTGTAGGTTTTGTGCAATTTAATTTAAAATCTTGACTTGAAGCTTTCGTGATTGCAGGAATTCATATTCTTGGGTCTTTCGGTAAAGTCACGTAGATAGGTTCAAAGAAAATAAAATGTGTTATTTTTTTTAATTTTAGTTGAACCTATCTTCGTGACTTTACCGAAAGACCCAAGGATACAGAAAAAAATGTGTTCCTTCAACGTTTTATCAACTTGTCATTGACAACTAACCCAGGATTTGCTGCCACCTTCTGATAATTTCAGGAGTCTGCTTATTTCTATCTAACGTTTGAAACATTTCATTAAAACAAAATCCCCCCCCAATGTATATTCGGGTTGTTTTAACACATTACAAATACATTTGTGTATGTAGTAAAGCTCTGATGTTAAACAAGAATTGGGACTTCACTTTAAATAACACATTTTTTAGTTGAATATGAGCAAAATTCAGAGATGAGCATCAACAACTTAAGATGTGTCTAACAATAGTCAAAAATATTAAGAAATTCTCGAACACTGAACCCACCAAAGCTCTTTTTAAGATGTTTTTCAGAACATAAACAGTCTGTACAGGATGACACATTGGCCTAGATTTCTGCATCAGTTGGAATAACGAGGTGGCCATTAAAGATAATGTGCACATCCTCATTGTCGCTGAAAATGGCGTTTTCCCGGTCCTTTTTGTACAGACGCACCCACACTTCATCCTTGGCGTGCAGCTCCAGCATGATGCTCTGGCTCTGCATGATGCTGCGGTCTGCCGACTGCGCGTAAAGGATGGCCTTCTCATCCTCGTTCTTCATGAGGTGCAGGTAGGTCTCCTTGAGGTTCCACGTGTGCACGTTGAGGTTGAAAGTGTAGATGCCGGGCACCGAGCAGCGGAAGCGACCGCGGAACATGTCAAAGTCCCCCTTGCTGCTCTTGCTAGCTTTGTTGACGAACACGAGGTCGAAGATCAGATTCTGCCCTCCGTCATCGCTGTGCATTGCTTTGCGTCGCCCAACGGAGAATGCGGAGAAGGGGTTCTTGGCCGACTGGCCTGACGATCCCTTCAAGCCCTGGTCTCCCTTTCCACCAGCTGGACCTATCGGTCCTGCATTGCCCTCCTTGCCAGCCAGTCCTTGCCTGCCTCGCTCGCCCACTTCTCCTTTATCCCCTGCACGCAAAGTTGAATGATGCCAAGGAAGTGTTTTTTTTTACATTGGCACAGGAGTCAACATGTAAATGCAGTCGACAAACTTGGTATCACAGAATACACATTGCAAGGGAATGCTTTACCAGATGGCACGACTGGAGTTTCAATTATTATTATTGTTAGACTTGGACAATTGGAGTATAAATGCTTTTGATTTTTGCTTCTATCTCGGTTTATAGAATTGCTCATTGTGTTCAGTGTGTTGTCCTTCCCCCGCACCTCCGATTAGCACGGTTGGCTACGTATGGTTTGAAAAACGTTGAACATGTATACATATACCGTATACTCCTTTCCGTTAATCTTTTGCCTTTGTTAAAGGTTTGTTTACAAATGTAATAGTTTTTATGCCATTTAAAATGTATTTTTCAATGCTGTGCACCTGATTTTTACTATAACCCAATTTTCCATTAAAAAAGATAATTGTAATCTGAATGGGCTCTTATCTGGGTAAAATAAAGAATGAAAAAAGACAAATTATTGTGTCATCTTCACAAAAATGACTGTCATTGTAGTTACACATTTTCTTACAGTTGTGTTTATTAGACTCCATTGTACAGCAACTATAAAATACTACGTAACATAAAGAATGATCACTCTATATATACACCTATGATCACCAAATCTTCAAAATATAACTTTTGGAACTCGATGGTTGTCAGCAGAAGGCAGTGCAACAAAATGTAATTGTTGTATTCTACTTTGATGCCCCCACATCTATGCTGCCTGCCTTCACCAACTCACACTGAAACATGTGATAAAGTTTGCTCAAATAACCTTCATGACCTGCACAACATAGGGAGGGCCCTCGTCCAATAGTGGAAAAAGGGATGCGCATGCACATACAGGCCTGCAATGCACAACCCCATTGCAGCCACTACACTCTCGCTTACCCTCTTGTCGAGGAGTTCTCAACCGGGAGGTCTGTGGCTATCATTATGGAGCCAACAAAGGTCAATGGTTCATATGGGTCAGCGCTTGTGGACCCGTGAAAGGCAAAGTGGCTGGCATTAGGCGGTCCGTGACATTTTCAGACCACCTCCACAAGCTATGCGGTCATGAAAAGGTTGAGCAGCCCTGATCTGAACTCTTACGTGCCCTAGAGAAGACCTTTCTCGTTGCAACGAATCGTTTATTTCAGCGTGGAAACATACATCGTTATGGTATTACACTATTGAATAATGGTAACAACAGCTGCACTCACTTTGTCAAGTGAAACCTAAAACTCACAAAAAAGTAATGCTGCTATTCGTAGGGCTATATTTTACGAACACTCTGCACGTGCCTCGTGACCTGCACTACTATATATTTTACACAAGGTTTAGTTTCCCACTCGATATTTTCAGGAACGCTGCTATAGGCTGGCTAGGAGCAGGGACGTCTATCTATAATAATCCGATATGATTGTATCATTATTGTACCCTATATTCCTAAGTAATGTCCTTAAGCACATCTGCTAACCTTGAGCACGTAATTTGCCCACCATTCCCCATGGCCACCAGCAGTATCGTGAGAACAAAATAAGGCGAGATGGATGTGGTGAGCATTTGGAACTGTTCCAGCTGAAGCACCGCTGCTGCATAAGATGAGAGCCGAAAGGAGTAATGCCAGCAAGAAACGTTTACGTAAAATAGACCAAAAGAGTAACAATTAAACACACACGGAGCAAGGCAATGTCAGCAATAATTAAAAGAGTGATTCATAATTTATTGGAAAATGTAATTGAACAGCGGTGTAATGATTCAATGAACCGTGGCAAATCTGAGTTGTGATTTTATTTCAGAATTATTTGTTGAACATCGTGGTCAGGGCTCAGCAACCTGTGGCTCCGTAGTCGCATGCGGCTCTTTAAGAGCCTGCTTCGTGACGTCATTTGTGAAGGACTCTTGAAATATAGTTGTTTATTCTTACCGAATATAAAAAAAATAGCTCTTCTTGTTATTTAGGTTGCTGAGCCCTGATCATGGTGAATGGTCTCCGCCTCTAGTGGCTCCAGGGTCATGTAAACTGATTGCATATAATATACAGGAAATTAATAGAAAATAATAACACCTGCACATGTAATTCAATGCATGCACCATGAGCATAGCAATTACTATGCATAGGTGATTCAATGCTTTGTTCGGCCTCTTACTATATATGTACAGATCTTATGTCCATCCAATCCTGGATGAGGGTCTCCCCATGCTGTGCGGGTTGTGGTGGATTTACAATATTTCACCACACTGGTCAGAGCAGGTTGGTGAATTTGGGGATCAACAACTTTTCACCCTCGCCAATCTACATAAAATATATAAATGTTCCCACTTTGAAGCGCACAACCTTCGCTTAATTACCACAATGTAATGTGCAGCCCTCGGGAAAAATAATGAGAAAAAGTAAGATGCAAAAAATTAACCCGTAAAAACAAAGTTTTTCACTATAAATCCTTTATATGCGTGGCGGCTAGAGTCCTCTCGTCCTCTGGCTTCAGATGGCTGCCACCTATGGGTCAGATGATTGCCTGCCACCATTAAGCAATTGGTAATGAAATATTTAAAAAAAATTCCTAAAAAGTGTAAAATTGTGGAAATTTTTTTTGACGAAAATAAATTGTCACGCACAACGAGTCTGTGTGCAAAATTTCAGCTCGATTAGATCACGGGAAGTGGGTTAAAAAACGACCGAAAGATTTGCACGGTCGTAAGCGCGCAAGCAAGTGAACTTAATATAAAGGATTTAAAAACAGGCCCCACCTTGGAGCAGATCGCGGCTCTGTGGGCTGACAATCGGAGTGGGCGAGTGCCAGGGGCTGCCATAGGCGTCGCGATGCTCTCCGGGGCAGCATTGCGTGCAGCTCTCCCCGTCTGCCCCGGCGCTCTCCTCGGCTGCTCCCTCCTCCGATTCGTCTGGAGCCAGCCCAAACGAACGAGCGGGCAGCAACACGACGAGGGCAAGGACAAGTGCAGCCTCGTGGACCAGCATGTCCTACTGGGAACGCAGGAGGCAACGGACAACAACCGAAAGAGCCCCAACTGTGAGCAATCGACGTCCCATTTTAATGAGACACGTAACCAGGATGCATGGCGACCGGCTGCAAGGGATGAATGATAGAGGGAACACTCCAAACATGCTCGGGGAAGAAGACCATGATCTGACTGGATGCCAAACATGGTTGACTACGTATGGTGGAAAAGAAGTTCAACATACATGCATATAATAATGAATGAAAGCTGTCTCAGATGAAAAACGAAGCAACAGACAGAGAGAAGTGGCGAAATCACGACAAGGAGCTATCGGTGAAGGTAACGGTCATACGCCAATAGGCAAAAAGATCAAAGGACAAGAATAAAACTGATCATGATCAGGGATGAAGGATTCCCCAAGCCCTCACCATCTCTTACTGTCTTGCAATTCAACACTCCATCTAACTCTTTCACACAAGCTCACTCCAGCTCTGCGGTCACATTTTCTCGGATGTGCTTCCTCATTTGGCTGCCACTTTGTCATAAGTATAGACCAATGGTCATCATTCAATTTCGCGATGTGTTCTGCCCAAGCCCACTTTCTTATCTTGACAGTCAGTATGATGTCCCTGACTTGAATATGTTATATAATCCCTGTGTAATTCCAAGCGTGTGCCTCTACATGTTACTAAACACCGATATAAAAATCGGTTAACGTCATTGTAATGTATTCAGATTGCAAAATCCCAAACAAATACAGTAATAGGATCTGTTTATGGGCAGAAACCACACGTATATGGTGTCCTGAAGACATCCGTGAAGTGCATCTGAGGGAAATATGTTTACTTAATTAATATTTTACATTTGGTCACTATATATTACACATTGACATTGCACCCAGTCATGTTGACAAAAATGGACAATAAACAGTGTTTGACGTAGTGATGAGACTCATCTGCATTTGAGTGGCACACTCCCCACGCTAGTTTGGTATCATCACTAACCGCACACTGGCTGATGTTTATGAAGTATGGTCACACATTTTTTTCCTCCCAAATGGATGTGCAGCTTGAACAAAGGCACTCAACTCAGTCACTTGCAAGTGTTGTTTAGAAAAGCTTAACATCGACAAGGTGCAGGTGCAGGAGCAGGGTGCAGTTAAGAATCACTGGTTTTCTTGCATTCGCCATAAGGATTTGCAACTTAAAGATCCAGATCCAAGTTAGAAAGGCACGCGATGGCTTCGGTGAGGCTGAGTGAATTGTTGGTGCTTCTGCCTCCATTTTCGAAGTTGGCAATGGTTTGCAATGTGCCCTATGGTTTAGTCACTGTCTCAACTCTCTTACTCCGAGTTTCATTTGTTCGTTTGATTGTTCCACTCGTGAAGGTGGTGACCTGATCTGGCGTGGGTGGTGCGAACTCGAGTTAGCGCATTCAGATGTTTTTCGGCGAAGGTCGGCACCAGGTGGAACGCGGTTCTTGATCTGAACCTTATGGCGGGACCCCGGGGTCCCGAATAAACGGAAGTCAAAATCGTTATTAATTTTATTTATGGTGACTCCGTCCCACCGCGCACATAAATGCCGCGACCCACCTGATAATTATGTTGTCATGTCGTCCAAGCACAACAGCGAGGACGAATGCTCAGGTATGGGCAGGATCATAAGTCTTATCCAAAGCTGCTCAAACTGCCTACGCGACTTAATTTCTTTATTTGTCATAACGGGATGCATAATACAGTGAAACTGCTCTCTTGTCTTCATTATTATTTGTGACCTACCAATGTCTGCAGCCAGGATCAATCAATGACAATCCTATTACCTGCAGATATTTAACAGATGAGATGCGTTGCACCGTTAATTCCTCCTGTTTGATAATACTTCTCTTGTCCGTATGCATCTGTGCAGATAGTTTTTTTTTTGTGGTTAGGCCATAGTCCCCACATACCGCTCGTATCAATGCGGATAAGAGGAGCGGCGACCCACTCCTCTGTAGAGTAACATTAGTATAAACGCTTGTTACAATATGAACAGCGCATTGAAAACGCGGACTATTTTATGTACCGTTTACAAAGTGTGTTCACAAATCCACACTGGAGAAACACGATGATTGACAGAGGGGTGTAGAAAAAATGTCGATAGTGTATTTAAATACAAGTACTGCAGGTAAGTAGTTTTCAGTTTTAAAGGCGTAGTTTAACAAGACAACACGTTCTACAATCCTTCAAACCCATTGGTGAAAAAGAGCAAAGTTTTTGTTTACATTATAATATCATGTTTATGCGAGGGCCTGGGGGCTTATATGACCCAGGGGTCCTGCTATAAGGTTCATTTGACAATTGCTCTCTAAATACACAACAGGCAGGGCCCCTATCTGAAGAATCAAACTGGAGACACAATTGAGCACACCTGAGGGGCATGTAGAACATTATTAACCTGCCGTAATCGCATTTTAGTTAAAATTAAAAGATGACTAAATTATTTTTTTAACAAAAGTTCATTCAAAGGTATTGCTCCAATTGGAAACAGATGTGTCCTGTCGTGACAATTCCGATATGCTTTGGAACACACAACACGTTGTAACTTGCACATTGTACGAAAGACGTTGCAGATGTAAACTGAAGTTGGCAGGAGTTCATACTAAGACTTAACCATTCTGTACGGGTGGTCTTAGCAATTATCAATGGCTAAGTATCTTATTTTCTTGTTTAGTTAAACATTCGCGAGGACTGTTATCAGATGCATTTTGTAAACTCATTCTCGTAATCCCATCATTATACAGCTTGTCGTGTGTATAGTTCCTGTACAAGCGCATGTACAACCTGTGGTCATCCACTGCTAGATGAATTCCTCCCCAAATGTCGTGTCACATGTGGAAGTTGTTTGACCATACTTCAGCACACCGGTCAGTGTGGGTTGGTGAAAGCAGGGAGAATAAATGTGGGATCATAGAAACCTAGTAGAGCAAGGGACTTTGCTGCACTGTTTCTGCTGACCACCACGTAGTCCCATGATCCTTGCGAAAACTATATTCTGATTGGCTTGTGAATCAGAGAGACCGTGTGAAACGCAGCCATTCGTTGGTAGACAGATGGCACAATCAGTCGGTCGAGGATGGCACTTTTAGAATAGGTGAAAGGGTTGTGTATTATTCATGCAAATAATGATGTGTTTAATATAATCTACGCTTTGATGTAAATTGCACATTTCACTACGCCGATAACAAAATCACCCAGAGTGCTCTCGATATCATCAGATTACGGAAGCTAAGCAGTTTGGAGCCTGGAAAGTGCTTGGAAGGGTGTCCACCATGCACTAAAAATGTGTAAATAGGTATTGTGGGCAGTAGAGAGCAGTACAGCAACATTCATTATTCAGCACCCTTACCACCCAGCTCACTAACCCAAAGTAACCAGCGGTGTTCAGCTTGGTTAAAATATCCCTCATTCAGCAGTGGAGTGACAAAAACGGCATGAATGTGTTACGTGCAGCTTTGTTCGTGGCAGCTATGAATGTAAGCATTATGGAGACCGGTACAAAATTGTGTAAAATGGGCCACGGATTCGCATTTTTTAAGTATTATGAAAACATTTTACTGTGCTTATATATAACGTTTAACGCAGCCGCAGTGCAATACAGTATGCTCAGCATTATGAATGGCATTTCCTTACCCCTCCCTGTGTCGCAAGCCTAACCGCTGGCTGCTAGCAGACAGTCCAGTGTTTTTTTTCGTTGGTTCTCTCAGAAAATCCTCCTGAAATATGCTTGATGTATGGGCATTGCAACGGTGGCGAAGTGGCTCGCACAAGGCCGTAATTATAATATATATTGGGGGGGTGACATCCCCCCATTATTCAAATATGCCTAAAATGTCCCCCCCAATATATTGCTATAAAAATTATTTATATGCTATGTAAATAAAACAACAATTTGCTAAACCTTGGCCACAATATCTGGACATGTCTTCATATAAATCAATGCATAGATTTATGTTTATATGATTGTGGTTATGGTTGTACTTTATTAATCCCTAATCTCTGCCATTACATACAATGAAACAAGAAATGGTAAAAAAATAAAAACAGAGCAATGTAATACAACACACTATTAGACATTATTGTAAAAAAAAAAAATGAAAAGTCCATCCCATGTGTTGGTGAATTTTAAAATATTTTAGGCAGGAAATTAGTTTTCAAATTTAGATATTTTTCTGGGTTGGGACCCCCAGACACCCTGGAAGATTTGGTCCCCCCCAATGTTGACTCCATGGCTACGGCCTTGGGTTAGCACATTGCACGATGAACCCGGCAACTTGATATTCACTGCCGGCCTCGGTCAGCCCAATATCATCACACAAACTGCGGTCCTCATAACCATCGAACAAAGACGGTCACCGCCATCGTGCGCTTTCAGCTGCGCTTCTGCGGCCATCTGGAACGCTCTTCCTTCCAATATTAGGAAGCCACTGGGAGCTATATGCACTTTTAGATTTAGTTTGGAAAAAAATAATTTCTTTAGAACTGCTCTTTGTGTGTTTGTTCGTTGTCCTTCCCCCGCACCTCCGATGTGCACGGTTGGCTTACGGTACGGTTGCAAAAAAAAGTTCAACACACGGTGTATAGCTATCAGAGGCGATCGATTTGTAAAACGGTGCTGGCTCCCACTTCACCAACGCGCACTGAACAGCGTGAAGAAGTTCTACGGGGCGGTCACATCGGGTTATGAACCTAATTCGCTCCTGAGATATATACGTAAGTCGAGGACGTCCCGTATGGGAAGTCCTCGACTTACGGTAACCCACCACCACCAAGAGAGAACGGCATCGAGGAGGCCTTCATCCATCCAGCTGCGGGTTCACAAATGGGATGCACATTGGTAATGGATGTGGACGAGGGCTGTTCATTTGCCATACATCGAAGTCACACCACCGCGGTGCCGATGGAATGTTACAAAAAAGGATGTGACATTGCAAGCAAATGTTTGGATATTGTAGCCACACAAATGTGTGTACTTGCGCAACATATAATATTACCAATAATAGTTGTGTTTTCGCCGTTGGGTGGGTCTAATGATGCATGAGGCGTGAAATTAACTTATAAAGAAGTTTCTGTCTCCACTCGAGGTTGATGTGAGCACCTTCATGGTAAACAAAACCTGCAAATCTGTGGCGTCCACGAACCGTAGTGCTAAATAATGTTATCAAACAATAATAATTTTAAAAACTTCGCATATAGGTTTAACATTTCACTGGCTGGGAAGCGATTCGAGTGAACAAGTCTCTTTTGCAAACGATGACCAGAATCAACCAGAGTTCACAATACAGTACCATTACAGACTTATTAAACGCAATCTATTGAACAAAAGTTAGCTTAATTAAAGACGAACTTTAATGAACGTCATAGCTAAATAAAACGAAACACGTATATGCAAGAAGGATAAAGACACGTTCATATATATATAACAAAAACACGAGAAAGTGTTTCTTGGCAGATGCCTAAACTTTACAAACTCTTGAAAAATAGCGAGAAACAGATGTATCCATTGCATAAGCCACTGTACAGCCTTGTGCCGGCTCCGCTTCTTTTCACAGTCCCCTTGTCACCTCTTCCGTCTGTTGAGACGCCAACAGACACGGAGCCTTGAGCAACTCACCTTTAAATCCGACGCTGTGTCCCAGTTTCTGAACAGATTCCTGTGTCCGGCAGGCGGAGAGAGGCCCTCTTTGGTGTCTATTGCTCTGCTCCCCAGAAGGAAGAGAGGGAGAGAAAAAAAAAGATTGGGGAGGAGAGAGAAAGAGAAAAAAAAACCTTAGAGCTGCCCCTGAGCTTTTTTTGTGTGCTGGCAGCTTCCAAGAAAAGACACACACGCACGTGCGCACACACAAGTGGGAGGGCCGAGAGTTCTCTCAAAGCAGTGGTGGTGTGTGTGCCACAATGTCTCAGTCACAGCAAGTAGGTTCGCAGGCAAGCAGCCCGCCGAAAGCCATCGAGACAACACGTGCATTATTTAAAGCGGAGACTTGCGCTGGAAAAGTACTTGAGCAAAGGAAGGAAAAATGCTCGCGCCGTATTAATGACCTGCATATTTCTCCTGCTCATTCATTCGACTAGGCAAATGTTCCACAAATATTCCACATTTTTCATTTACTAGAGGGCGAAGCTGAACAAACTTTTCTCTGAGAATTAAAATTAATAAATGGCCTATTGGTCGATTGGCCATCCACACAAACTAACTGGGAGCAAAGAGTATGGATTACTGCAGTCACGAAAGCTTCAAATCAAGATTTAACTGAGAGGAATTGTTTAAAGCAAGCAAACGTTGGGTTTTACCTTCTGGGCCTCATCAGCAGTGTTGAGGGCCAAACGTGACTTCAGCGCGTTGATATTTCATCAAGTCCTTGTGTGCGTGTGGACGGTGTTTGGGAGCGAGTCGTGTCGCAGTTAACGAAAAAGATCACGCAGTGGAACGAAGAAAAACAACACCGGAGTACGACGAAAACTTGTATTTAATAATTTTATTGATGACCACCCCTGTTGTTTCCTCGATAATGGTCACGGTCTGGAAAGACTGAGGCACGGTGGGCACGGGTTACACAAATATTGGCAGTTTACCAGATGTTATCGGTGTGATAATGTGATACAAATATCATTGCTAAGCCGAATGGTTACATTTGTTTGATCAACAGTTGCTCAATAAATATATGCTATTGCGATAATGTGATACATTGTCTCTCTGTGCAGTAAACACAGCGCCTTAATCTCCTGGAAGCCAGGGCATTTTAACCATCTCCAAAAAAGGTCTCCTTTGTATTTGTTTTACTTATATGGTAATGTTGCGTAACAGCAGCCAGCAGATTGAGACGGTGATTTTTCAGCTCTGGTCACTCAGTTCGTAGGAATATTTTTTGTTCCAAAATAAGCATATTTTCTCCCTGTCGATATGAAACAAAGCACTCATTTGGGAATGTATTCACTGTTGATATTATCGCCTACACACACAGATTGTGCCGACACTATTATTTACAAGTGTGGCATTTCCTCTTTATTTTGTTCAGAAATAAAGACAATAAAATACGGAGTGAATCTGTCACAACACGAAATATCTGCTTCATATTTGATGCGGTTTTTGTCTGCAGAAAAGTTTTGTCTCAGCAGATGTTTGAATTTATCAAACTGCCTCGGCATAATTTTCTGTGACACGTAGACTATTTTTGTATACAGTGATGCGAGGCACATGCTAAGCATGGCTCGTGTGCTCTCTTTCCCTTGCATGTTCGTGGCGCTGCAGTCTGTGGCACATCTCATTCCTGCATCGCTGATAATGTGCAACAGGATCACAATCCATGTGGAAGCAGTTCGTGCTTTCACGTGGAAGAGTTCGTGTTTTGTCATGTGTATCCATTACATCTATATTAACGGGAAAACGACTTTATATTATTAATCCACAATGTATTATAACAACATGGTCTATACCTCGACTAGACTATGCCCAATTGCCATGTGAAACAATGCTGTGAAATTATTGCAGTTATTCAATTGTAAGGCAGTGTCGTGTAGTGTCTACTGAACTGTGATCGCATCCCCAGTAACCTCGATTCGATCCTTGGCAATTCTTATCTGAGCCTGCCATCAGGTCTCCTCTAAGCCAATTTAGTCAAAAGTAATAAGGAGTATCTTGGGGTGCAAGCCAAAATCAAAAGACTCATCACATTCATCATTAACCCTGTCTGACAACAGAAAAATAGTAAGTTGATATTTTCGGCAATGGAACTTCTGCATAATGGAGAGATTGGTTAATTCTTGGTCTAGATTGGACTGCACACTGTGGAACCCTTATAAAACTGTGATATGTTAAGTTAATAAATAAACATATTCAACTAATAAAGATGTGCATCTACAGCCCTTTGTCATTCCAGTTCTAGATGAGGGGCTCTTGATGCCGTGCTGGTCTTGGGAGTTATTTGAGCACACTTTACTTTTTTCACAGATCAAACCCAGACATATTTCTTCATCAGCCGAGATCAACACTGTGCAGTTCTACGCTCATGAAGTTCAACACAATTCCACCATAACGAAGTGTAATGAGAGAGCGCCACCGGTTACAGGGGACATATGCATGGCCACCGCTGGGTAACCGGTATCCAATCTGGAGTAGGGATTCAATCTCGGGCGGAGCTACGGGGAATATTCGGGAACCATCCAGAGGGTTCCACGAGGGGGCGTGGCCGTAGGCGGAGCTTAGCTCCGCCGGGGGGTATATAAGTGGAGGCTTATACAGTATACCCCCCTACCTCTCCCCCCTACCTCTCCCCCCCCGCCACCTCTCCCCCCCCGCCACCTCCCCCCCCCCCCCCGCCACCTCTCCCCCCCCCCGCCACCTCTCCCCCCCCCGCCACCTCTCCCCCCCCCCCGCCACCTCTCCCCCCCCCCGCCACCTCTCCCTCCCCCCCGCCACCTCTCCCCCCCCCCGCCACCTCTCCCCCCCCCCGCCACCTCCCCCCCCCGCCACCTCTCCCCCCCCGCCACCTCTTCCCCCCCCGCCACCTCCCCCCCCCCCCGCCACCTCTCCCCCCCCCGCCACCTCTCCCCCCCCCCCCCGCCACCTCTCCCCCCCCCCCCCGCCACCTCTCCCCCCCCCAGCCCCTCCCCCCCCCCGCCACCTCTCCCCCCCCCCCGCCACCTCTCCGCCCCCCCCCGCCACCTCTCCCCCCCCCCGCCACCTCTCCCCCCCCCGCCCCTCTGCCCCCCCCCCGCCACCTCTCCCCCCCCCGCCACCTCTTCCCCCCCCGCCACCTCTCCCCCCCCCGCCACCTCTCCCCCCCCCGCCACCTCTCCCCCCCCCGCCACCTCTCCCCCCCCCGCCAAACCTCTCCCCCCCCCCCGCCACCTCTCCCCGCCCCCCCCGCACCTCTCCCCCCCCCCGCCAACCTCTCCGCCCCCCGCCACCTCTCCCCCCCCGCCACCTCTCCCCCCCCCCGCCACCTCTCCCCCCCCCCGCCAACTCCTCCCCCCCCCGCCACTCTCCCCCCCCCGCCACCGCTCCCCCCCCCCGCCACCTCTCCCCCCCCCCGCCACCTCTCCCCCCGCCACCTCTCCCCCCCGCCACCCATCTCCCCCCACCCCCCCGCCAACCTTCTCCCCCCCCCCCCCTCCACCTCTCCTCCCCCCTCCGCCACCACCTCTCCCCCCCGCCACCTCCCCCCCGCCACCTCTCCCCCCCCCCCCGCCACCTCTCCCCCCCCCCCCCGCCACCTCTCCCCCCCCCCCCCCGCCACCTCTCCCCCCCCCCGCCACCTCTCCCCCCCCGCCACCTCTCCCCCCCCCCGCCACCTCTCCCCCCCCCGCCACCTCTCCCCCCCCCCGCCACCTCTCCCCCCCCCCGCCACCTCTCCCCCCCCCCGCCACCTCTCCCCCCCCCGCCACCTCTCCCCCCCCGCCACCTCTCCCCCCCCCGCCACCTCTCCCCCCCCCGCCACCTCTCCCCCCCCCGCCACCTCTCCCCCCCCCCCGCCACCTCTCCCCCCCCCCCCCGCCACCTCTCCCCCCCCCCCCGCCACCTCTCCCCCCCCCCCCGCCACCTCTCCCCCCCCCCCGCCACCTCTCCCCCCCCCCGCCACCTCTCCCCCCCCCCCCCCCGCCACCTCTCCCCCCCCCGCCACCTCTCCCCCCCCCCCGCCACCTCTCCCCCCCTCGCCACCTCTCCCCCCCCCCGCCACCTCTCCCCCCCCGCCACCTCTCCCCCCCCGCCACCTCTCCCCCCCCCGCCACCTCTCTCCCCCCCCCGCCACCTCTCCCCCCCCCCGCCACCTCTCCCCCCCCCGCCACCTCTCCCCCCCCGCCACCTCTCCCCCCCCCCGCCACCTCTCCCCCCCCCGCCACCTCTCCCCCCCCCCGCCACCTCTCCCCCCCCCCGCCACCTCTCCCCCCCCCCCCGCCACCTCTCCCCCCGACGACTTGGCGAACCTCCGCTGGCTGGCGGTGTGCCCGGAGGAGAGAGGGAGACTACCGCAGCAGCGGTCGAGGGAGCGAGAGAACTACCTAGAGAGAGAAAGAGCGCGGAGCTGTGCAGACATTCTGTGGAATTACAGACACCAGTCCAGAGTCGTCGTGGAAGTCGTCTATTATATAAGTACAAATAAAATCCTGCCACCTGACCACAGATTCCAGTGGCCGGTCTAACCTGGCTAGGTGGCAACCCTATTCACCAAGCTGGCTAGTGGGTGTTGATGATGATGGAGAACATAGACGTAGGAGCATAGTAGAGTACAATTGATGTTCTGCTCTGCCCTATACTACTCGTAACATAGCCCTGCTGCAGGCTACAAGACCTGTCTTATGCAAGGTGATCACTCAACCAAGCACTATCCAGGCTCAACTCTGATTAGCTGATGAGATTATGCACATTCGGGGTGATCTAGTCATGGCGTGCAGGTTTTAATAGGTACAGTACTCACAGTAGATAGTTACAGTATAAAATAGATTAAGAGCACAGAGTAAATAGTGTCTGGATATGAATATAAGAAAAATAACGTTAAATAGTTATATTGTTATTCGAGATACTGACATAAATTTGATATGAATACATGTAATAGATGTATACTTTTAGTTTATTTATATTCACGAATTATTATATTTCTACATGTCCCTTCACTATAATCGATCTAATTTGGCAGCATCAACAATACGATGTTTAAGTTCTTCAAGGTCCCTTGGTTTGCTAGTATAAGACTTCCCAGAGATAAAAAATATATATAATGGTTTTAAGTCTGGTAACTGACGGACTTGTCATTATATCAGAAAATGGGGGTTCTCCTGAAACAAAAAGAAATCACCAGTCGTTAATCACAACAAAATAAACTTCTAAGTCTAATGCAAACATTTATTTGAAATTTATGTCAGTATCTCGAAAATTTATTTTTAA